GAGCGCCTATCCCCTCCCTCTCCCAACGTGTGACAGTGGTCTTGCAGAAGTACATAAGAACTATAAACACCAGTCAAACTCAAAAGATCGGTACAAAGTAGAGAATCCACTAACGTTAAAACAATAGAGACAACGCACAAATACTGTTAGCTAGATCAAAGCCAAGTACAGCTAATACACAACTTATGTTCTCGAAGACTGAAGTATGTTACATGTAAAAATTTTCCTGCTCAGTCCGATTGAAAATCTAACATTTATTCAAATGACCCCTTTTAGAAGAAATGTTTTGAATAGAACATTATGTGTTGCGAATATTTTCCTGGACTCAAGCGTTTTGCTGGTAGCAATAAACAAATTGATTGCTTAATGATATTTGGAAGAGAGGGGTGGAAATAAGTGAATTTGAATTTATTTTGTGTAAATCCTTAAATTTGAAGTAAGATTTATAAGCGTCTGGATGGAATAGCATACTTTAGAAATGTAGTATAACTATATTAATTATTTCAACATAAGATAGTTTTTCTTAAAAATGTATGGTTTAAAAAGGTAAATAACATAACACGTGACTAAATCACACTACAGGTGCCTTCTTACCTTTCACCTGGTCAAGTATGCTATAGGTGTCAACATTTAATCACTAAAACAACAGCCTCCAATAAATGTTTTGTATTGTGTAATTTTATACATAAGGTGAGACGTAAATAAAATATTGAATTGAATTGTTTTAAAAGGGGGGAAAGTAATAAAATTGTTAATTGAATATCCTAATGCAGAATTAGTGTAATAAAGGATTTTCCCTATACAAATCCTTTGTGTGATGTATGGTTTTCAACCAAAAAAATTATAAGCATAACTTTTGGTGATAATTTATACATATTAAAAGTCTCTATGTAACCAAAAAAACGGACACTTTGCGAACGCCTAATTTGACTTTTACTATCGTTTTTTTTTTCTGCTTCTGGCGCACACATAATTATAACATTACCGCAACAGAGAGAAAAAAAGAAGAAATTGATCATCAATAATTAGAAATTTATATTTAAATAAAAAATATGCAGAAAGCGGTCTATTAAATTTATTCTTCAGACAAACCAAATAGTATGTATGGTAACAATCCGATCGGTATTGTCTGAAAAATCGTCTTTGTTGGACTCTTCGCATGAAGAATTAATATTCTTTTCTTGGTTATTTTCCACACACCATGGCTCAAATTGATGAGGTCAATTGACTGTATAGTTTGTCAGTAATCGGGAAAAGTGCTGTCGATACCGTCAATAGTGTATCGACATCGTCCAGTTAGAGACATTTTCCCAGCTTGTAACCACTGACGTAAGCACGATCACGTGATCGTTATCTAATTTAAAATCATTCATTATGACAAGCGCTGGATTCTTTGACCAGAAAAATGCCGATTGATCAGGTTTTGAACAGCAAAATTGTACAAAACATGTTTTAAGACTAATATTTATTAATTTAATAAAAACAAAAAACCGTGTCACGTCTCCTTCAATCACTATAAAAACAAACAACTATGTCATCAAAGAAAATCAATAATATTAATAATGTATAATTAAAATACCGAGCCACACCAAAAGGATATTACCAAAAGTGGGCTAAACAGGTTAAAGATATACAAAGAGGAACGAAGGATAGATAGCCATGTGCAGGTTCGGTATGATTGGATAACTATTATCATAAATGCTTGAACCCAAAACTATGAAACTTGTCTGAGCATACAAACCAAAAGAGCCTTAATAGAAAAGCCAATATCATCTGAGGTGGAGTTGCAATCAATTTCTTTGTACATTATCATAAATAACGAGCGAAAAATAGACTGCAGCACTATTCTGTTAATTGAACAATTTATTGCTCAACATAGGGTGTATAAAAAACTGCCAATCTTGACTGCATATTTTTCGTTTTTTTTTTAAATATATATCAAACCTTAATAATGTAGCTTTCTGAGGATCCAATTTTTAACGAGTTCCAAAATGTAGTTTCGCCACAATAATTTTTCAAAGTTGGGTCATTTTGTCTATATCAATGTCTGTAAATTCGTATGATCGAGCACACCGATAAGTGTATCGTTGAGACAACTCGATATAGTGTAATCAATATACGTGACAAATTACCTAAATTATTAGGGTATTGAAACCATCATAATATAAATTTATGATCAAAATATTATGTTTGAAAAACATGAGTCCTATAATATAAGACTTTAAAGGTTCATATCATTTACATTCAACGTTTTTTATCGGATTTTTTTTTTTACTATTAATGTAACCTCGAGGTTCAACATTTATAGTGAAAAAAAATCCCATAAAAAGCGTTGAATGTAAATGATATGAACCTTCGAATTCTTATAATATAGAACTAGAAAACATGTGATCCAAATTAACCACGTGTGTTAAACAATAGACTTTGCACTTTTATGATGTGCAGGTATGCGCATCTTCCATATTCAAATCTGTTAAAAAAATGAAAAATTGAAATACTTACACACTACGCAATAGTTTTGTCTTTGTTAAAAAATCATGAGTATTTTTATTTGGTATTTCTTTGATATGAATATACTCATTTCTCTAATTTTGATTTATGTTTATTGTCAGTTCATGTAATATGTTGGAGTTTGTGCAAAATAAAAATATTCATCCGAGTCAAATTAAAAATGCATTAATTTTTCTTATCTTTTGTATAATTCAAAACTTTTGCCGGTGTTGATTCAGAAGTCAGCATGTGAAACCTTTAACGTGCATATTAAAGTTTATCACATATTTTGTACTGATATGTACGTTTTTGCATGGCCAATAATAGCCGGAAGTCAAGGTTGGTTATCAGCCCTCGGGGCCAATATCGATATCAGCCCTTGAAATCCATATCGAGCCCCCGAGTTTAACTTCCGGTAACCTGTCAATCAAAAACTATTTGTAAACAAGTTGTCATCCAAAGCAGTTAGACGATCAGGAGAGATCAAATGACGATGTATGTAAATTCATACAAGAAATGAAAAATGAGAACACAATGAAAAGAAATTTAGAAATTTACGAATCTGCTGTAGTAGAAAAAATGTAAAAAATCAACAGTGGAAATCACAAAAGTTCCCGTAAAATTTGGACGTCATAAAGAATTTAGAAAATATATGACGTCACAATGAAAAAGCGATTGTTGTATGACATCGAAAGTTCAAGCGGAACATATTTCCAAATCATAGTAGCGATATGGTGTATTCTTCGTCAGCATTAATTGGAAATGTAACACTTTTTAAAGTCGTTTAATAATTACAATTCTGGGAATTAATATATTTATTGTTAATTATTTGTTAAACTTTTCACAAAACTTTGTTTACTCACTGGGATTCGAACTTTGTTAACTCACTGTGATACATTTTTTAAATTTTTTTTGTTAAATATTTTTTTGAATTTTTGTTGAAAATATCAAACATAATTTGGTATATGCTATCTTTTTTCTCTTGCTTGAAAATATGTGATAAATAGATTATTACATGTCAATTTCCATATGGTCCGTGGTATCAGCCCACGACCCATATCAAGCCCTCGGGCTAAAGCCCTCTGGCTTGATATGGGAGTCTAGGGCTGATACCAGGGCCAATATGGAAAAGACATGTAATAATCTATAAATAAACAGTAGCAGTTCCAGAAATTTTCCTAAGGGAACGACCATTTAACTTTAAGAAAAAAGGGATTATGGGTTTTTTCTTTAAAAATATGATGATCTCCAATTTGATGAATTTTGTTGGTTATACTTTTATACAAACACTACACATAGGAAAGTATATGTTAAATCTGAAAACATTAATATATGAAAATTGTTTGACTCGGACATAAAAATCATAACCCCCCCCCCCTCCCCCCGTTTTGCAGTTAAATGGTTGAAATCTAAGCGGATGCCCACTGACTGCCTAAAAAAGGGGCCCGCTCTAGTCCTGCTTCAGTGATTTCGTACATAATTAACCAAATTTGTTTCACACTGAAAGGGGTGGCCTAATTCAGACTCTGATGAAAGTTTGTAAATCAGGCAGGTAGCATGCGAGGAGCTTTTTTAGAATTACTTGGCTAGTTCTCTGACGTCCAACGACTGTTTTCCCAGACAAGCACGGCCCCAGCTTGTCTTGCAAAACAGCCGTTGGACGTCAGGGTAATCTCGGACTATAATTTGGCATGTCGTATTAATAAACAAATTAAATCTTTATTTTGTCATAAACTTTGTGAACTACAATGTCATGCAAACTGAAACCAAAAGACCATCCTTGATAAAAATGTCAAGTGTGCCAAATGTGGAATTAAGACGACAAACAGATCGTATCATAACATTATGAACAAGCCTGTGGAGTGTTTTTAAGTTGGTAACAAGATAATCATAGCTTATGATCAAACCTCCACAAAAAAAAAGAGAAGGTCGGACACTTGTCAAATATGTCCCAATATAGCTTAAAAAGTCATGAAACTTTAGTTTTAAATTTAAACTGCGGCCTTATTTTAAATGCCGTTGATGCCAAAACATATGATATGATAATGTTCAAAATTGAATATACAGATGAACTTTCGTGGGTCTTTCCTTTCCCTCAGTGACTAGCATTTTCTAAAAATCACCTAGCCAGTTCTTATGAAAACGTACTTCGATGCTGGATTGAAAGAAATTGCAAAATTAAGACACAAAGAAGATGGCCTCTTAACAGTCCAACAGCAATGCACAAACTTTAGGAAAACTCATTTATTTCATCTTGACATCTTTCTACAAAGCTCAGTTGCTCAGTTTCTTTATCAATAGAAATTTAAAACATGAGAATTCAGAATTTACATGTGTGCAAACCACAAACAAAATATTGCAAGACGTGGTTTTACTGACAATGGAGGCAACAATATTGATTAAAGAAATCTTCAAGATTTACAAAACATTACCGACAAAAGCCTTCAGTTGGGCAATCTTACTGTAATCTGATTATCTCTACTGATACATAATGCAACACTAATGACACATTTAAGTTTTGGAATAATTTTATTCACGGAGACTGTTTCTCATTGATGAACATTTCTTTGCTCTTGTCTTTTCGGAGTTTAAATTGGGAATTACAAATTGCTGCATGAAAGAGACTAGCTCCACATTTCTATGCATATGATCGTCATATGTACTTGAGATTATTCCATAAAACATCCGTTTGATATCCTTTCAATGCCAGAAACTGTCTATTACCCAGCTGAGAGCTAGTGGTTTTTCTGCCACAATTACAAGGAAAAACTGGCTACAACTTGCACTGGATCAGGCACTTGAATCTTACATCGATCTTGATGTTAAGCAGTTAGTTTAAAGGCCCCTTCGGAACTGTTGGATTCTATGACAGTCTTCCTTCCATACAGAACATCGCTGCAAACTAATTTGATCATTCAATATTAGGTGATAATAATATTATTTGGCAATCCAAAGAGAACCTGAAAATATTAGACCAATGTTTGAACAGAGAAAAGCCCCCTGAAAATCAAATGATTGTTACCACAGATAAAAATAATCTATATTTCGTAATATTTTCACCCGACATCCCCCCTCCCTAATTTGTTCAATGTATGGTGGTTTTACCCCTTTTCGGCTTTCAGTATGTCATATTTTATATCTTTAATGAAAATTGCATAAATTAGATGAATTTCTAGTAAATTTCTACGATATTCTTTATCATTTGACAAAATACCATGCATCTGAATTAAATTGTTTACTATTTGAAAAAGCGTGCCTTCTTTTACTTTAATTCATCTCCCTTTATTTCACATAGCAACACAAATAAAAAACTGCCAATCTTTGCTGCATATCAATTTTTTCCCCCGATAAAAATATATATCATGCAACATGATCAACGTTAAAAATTGGGAGAAAATCAAGGTGTTCCAACCATTGGATAGTATTAAAAAAAAATAATGAAAGGATGGCATGATTACAAGTTTGAACCCTGACGACACTGAAAATCGAAAATTCACGCATTTACCTATCATATGAAGATACGATGAGGCGAGAAACTAAACAAATAATTTACCTGATTCATTATCATATTCACATTATGTTGACACGTCTCAGTTCGTCTGTGCTAGCTCATTTAAAACAAGCAAAACAATTACGGCATCATCCGTTTTTCTTTACCGATCGCCTCTAGTCAGAAGAGCGCACTGTTTACAGGGGAGGTAATATTTTGTCACCAATTCGCACACTGGACATGAACTATAAAAGGTACTGAACAAATACAGACAAAAACAAAACAAACATGACGACATAAGTAAAGGGAAAAAACACAAACAAAGAGTTTACAGGACATATGATATTACTTTACTACGCTCGATAGTTAATCGTGGTCCTTAACACACTGGTTATTCTCATCCTGTGCATAAGTGTTATTACCAGTACTTTCGTCAGGGTCATTGCTTCTCAGCAAGTCACGAATATCATCGTGGTTAAGAATTAACTGTTTCATGGAAGCTTCAGTCTTTTTAACATCAATGCGGCCATCATTTGTCCAGTAAGCATGTATGGAATGCCTGTATTTGAGATCAGCTAGCTCTTTGACCAAGTTGGTTCTATGGGTTGTAAGATTTTCAGTGATGAAAATTTTGTTCGGATCACCCTTTAAACCTTTTTTTTTGCACTGAACACTTTTTTGTGATTTCTACAAGAAATGAAGCGCACGATGACTTGTGATTTACCAATTCGGACTTTACCGATGACATGTGATCTGCTAATGTCTGATTTTTTGATTCCTAGATCAAGCTTTTTGTTACAAACATCTAATATAAGGTCTTCGGTATTAACTGGATGCATTACTTTATCATATCTGTCAACCGGGACCTGAATGTTATGAAATCGAAGGCTGGTTCTACGGGAATATTTGATTTTCAAGACGATTTTCAAGTAGACCCCGATTTTCTGGTATGGATCGCCAATCTCTGAGTTGTAATCATCTAGTCGGTGTAAATTTTCAATCTCTATTTTGTTTAAGGAAAGATGGTTTGCGGCTTGTACTGCTATCATTTGTCTTTGTTCTGCAATTTTCTCTTCTTGTTTTTTTAATTGTTTCAGTCATAGGTGCAATATGCTCTTCTACAGTGGATTTGACCATAGCCTGAATTGTTTTGTTTAAGGAAAGTTCAATTGACTCACATAGTTTTTCTGTAATTACAGGTAAAATTTGGTCCAGCACTTCAGGACTAGTTAATGCTTCAACCACTTTGTCAGCAATAGTTTTTTTCTGAAACCTGGGGTTTTCTTGGATGTTATAGAACTCAAGTCCACCACCGAGTTTCGTCGTCTGATATGACGGTTAACTTGCCTAGCGGTCCACGGCAAGTCCTCAGGACTGTCTGGATTACCCCTTTTTTTGGGTCGACCAAGTCTAATTGGTGTGTCAATACCGGGTTCAGTATTAGTTACTTTATTTGTATTTTGTTGGGAACTAGGCAGAAGTAAGTTAGTGAGTAAGTTGGCTTCGCTAGATTTTTCTGTGTTTACATCCATGGGCGCGGCCATATTGGTCAAATTTGTGAGCGTTTGACTATCGAAAAAAAGTGAATGACGATATTACAAACTGTTATTTTTTGGATATCAAAGACAATAAAGCACTATCATTTCATCCTTCCATCAATAAATCCCATTTCTTGAGGGAGCTCGTCTACATGTACGTATATGGCCTGCGCATGCCCTCGAAGGCAATTGGAATTGGTATGCTTTAAATGAATTTTAAACGTGTTGTATGTAAAATTATGTAAGGTACAATGTAACCTCAATTGTATCCACTGTTGATGTTTGTTTATGCCCTTTTGTTTTAGCTTTCAAACGTTTATATTATTGACCTCTCACGTGCGTACATGATGAAGGTTATTTCAGAAACACGTGTTGTGTGAAAGGAGTTCATATCATAAAAAAATAATAAATTTGAATTTAATGTGAAAAATATACTGTTTTTGTCTATAACGTACAGGTAGACTTGAAAAAAACGTTAAATATAATATATATTTTATTCTATTATTTAATCTATATAACAAACTATTTTGTTTTCTTCCCTTTCAAAAATGTTTTTAATTCAAGAAATTAAGAATCACACATTTTATTTTAACCCCCAACCCCACACACACATAAAATGTGTTGTCGCTGTCAGAACAGATAAAGAAATGCAATGCAATGCAAGACCACAGAGTATTCTAAACAAATTTGGTACCTTAAATGATTTAAACTACAGTCATTTAAAAAAAAGAAGTCCTTGACATTTAAAATATTGTTATTGAAATGAATGCAACGATATAAAAGTAATAGTTAATCATGATATTTTAATAATGAAAGTTACAAATGTACCGAGTTTGAAATTTAAATTATATTTCTTATATATATAATTGGCAATATTTTTTTCCGTTGATCTTACTTTTACTGTCTACTTCTATTCTTTTTATTTTTTCTTTCTTTTTTTGTTTTGAGTTAAAGAAGAATTGTACTGAACTTTTGAATTCTCATGTTGAACATGTCTGAAATTGTGTTAATTTTTAAAAGTATTTGTATAACAATACTTGAAGTATACTCTTAATAAACATTTAGGCTTTATTATGAAATGGACCAAAGGAATATGTCAAAAATATTAATTTCTCCTACATGAATGTATCTTTATTATAGTATACATGAAAAATTCGTTGAAATTAAAAAAAAAAGTATACATAAAAATGAATATAAATTTGATAAAGTCGGATATGGTCTTACCACTCATTTCATTCAGATTTCATCAGCATCATAACATGTTTAAAATGTTGTTAGTTACGAATTTAACAAGGAAAGAATTTAAATATATCTGGAAACTTTTAAACTAAAAATAAAAAACTCTATTTGACTTCATTGATCTACTTAATTGTAAAAAAAACTCTACTTTGTCATATATGTGTTGTCAAAGTCAGATATAAGAAACTATTGAGCTTCTTGTCGTTCAGCTACTTGCAATGTTATGACAATTACGATAAACCCAGGTTTAATCCAACATTTTCTACATAAAGAAATACCTGTAACAAGTCAGGAAGATGATAGTTGTTTTCATTCGTGTGATGTGTTTGAGCTTTTGATTTTGCCATTTGATAAAGGTCTTTCCGTTTTGAATTTTCCGTGGATTTCGATATTTTTGTTACTTAACCTTTTACAAAAAAGACTAATATCCAGTGCTGGTCTTAAAATTTGAAAGCTGTCTGTCATATTCTTCTTCTTCATTGTTCATTGTTTATGTATACATTTTAATCAAACCGTGTTTTTTCTCTCTTTTGAATTGTTTTCCATTTTGTTATACCGATGCCTTTTATAGTTTATGGTATGTGTTTGGCTCATTGGTGACATGCAATTAGTTCACATCTTTGTCCTTATGTTTTAATATAGTCGAATCATTGGCAGTCATGCCAATCCCTTCATTTTTGTATGAAAAGTACTAAATTATTTGATGAGATATATAATTCTGATGTTTTTGCAATACTCATTTGATAAACTACGATTGTTCCAGTGATTTCTAAACTGCACAGTTATAACATATTTTGTAAAAAACTATAAGGCCACACAAAACAAATTAGGCCAAGCTAAATAAACATAATAATTACAATATCATAACAACAACAACACAAAGTACAACCCTAATCGAGCACAGTCACCTTCTAAAAAGCAATCTGTTAAGGAATTTTTATCTATAAATTTCATTTTAAATGCAAGATACTGTTTTCTTCAGGTGGGTTACATGTTCAAGAAACATATTCGTTCTTATTGAAATGTTGTCGTGTTACGTACTCACATACCAAATACTCATGGCGAGCTATAGTACTTTTAAATTTGAGGAATTATAAGGCCTGCATCTTTAAAATAAATACTTTGTAAATTTTGTGTATTGGATTTGTCGAACACATTCGTTAAGTTAGTTCAATGTACACATTCTTTAATCCGTATGTTTTTCAAATCTATGAAAGAAGTATTAAATCTGCTGTTGCGAATATACCACTATCATAACAGTATACACTTACTTATGCAAGAAATTTTGAATTTGTTCTTCTCCAAGGCTGTTTTTTTTTTTATCATATTGACTAACGTATATAGATTGTACACAGTAAAACATTTTGCAATTCATATTCGCATTGTATGGAAACGCATATCATTCACTAACTCTTTAAATTGGCTTTGACTTTTCCTTCACCTTAATTTCCATTCGCATATTTTTTATACTTTCCATTCGCATGGTGCTGTATGATTTTTTTTAAATATTTTGTTTCGACTATTCCATGTGATATTAATAATCAATAACTTGGTTTCAAATCTCACCACAACGGCCTTAAAACAATGGGCAAAGGAAACTTTAGGAATGATTATGATTTAAACTTTAGTGAAGCTAGTTCATTAAGGACACACGTGTAGTATGCACCTTCTTTATTCTAAACTGTTGAAATTAAAATGAAATAATCTGTCTTAAATATTCTTTAAATGATCCTTGATTTTGTCCCAGAAAAGTTCTTTTGCTTTACTGTCTTCGCTCCAAGCTGCATAATTGGATAACTTTATGAACGAGTAAATTGCTGCATTCATATTTTTGAATTCCACTTCCTCGAACATAACAGGGAAAATTGTTAATGATCCTTCTTTAGTAAGTTTGCTTCGAGCCACATCAAGCTGGAAGAGACACCATTCATTTTTGGAAAAGTTATTAGAAAAAACAGGTATAACCGTTTTGCTCAAATTCATGTGATCAACGATATTGTCCGCGAAAACTTTCCCAAGTTCGAAATCCCTATGAGGAATACATAGTTTGAAGCCATATTCTATTTCTATTTCCTTGATAAGTTTGTCTTTAACCCACTTAAAATCCTCATAGCAGTATATAACGTATGCAGCATAAACAAAATTGTTTTGTTTCAGCTTGTGATAATTTCTATAGCGGGATCGGATGTTGTATAATTGGAAACGAATGCGCCATCTACAAAAGTAGACAATAATTGTGGCAAATAGAATAACACCGACGAGACATCCAACTGACACTGCAATAGTTAAAACGATATTTTTACAGTTTTCGGGAGTCGGATTGTAATTGATCAGAAACTCCGAATTGTCACACTTGTATTCGTTTGCTTTTTTTATGATAACCTTTGTTGATTTCATCCACTCTCTAAACCACATTATGTCACAA